TCATGTTCTCCAAAACCAAAGTGAAGCAGAAAGCTAAATTATCCAAGTATCGTTAGACGTAGGGGATTAAGCCTACTTTTTGTGGTTTCTTTTTCTCTGATTTTGGTCTCAAAACATCATCCATGTTATTGTTGCAAGTCTTTTTTTTTTTTCAATAGACCTATACCTTGTGTTCCACTTTGAACAATTTTAAAACCACCTTTTTGTTTTTCCCTACAAGAGAAACTTAAGATACAATAAGAATAGCTGGACATGCACAACACTTTATGGAGTGTTTTTGTCTTTCGGAATTTAGCCCTGAGTGTTGGTAAGCAGTGAGGGTAATAGAAGGACACACTTCCAGTCAGAGATGTGGTCAAGTATATCTCAATGTTAGTTCAAACCACTTTTAAGCATTCACCTTTATGCATAGTTTCTGGAAAAGATCTAGTTGGGATTGCTGTGCTGCTAGTAGTCTTCTATTGGTGAAACTTTCCTTTAGTTTTTATATATAAAAATATAAGAATAATTTGCCAAGGCTTCTGCTTCTAGCTATAATGAGCCAACTAACACATGCACTGTGAAAAAGTATAAAACTGCATGAAACAAGTGAGACGACAGTTTTTAGGCTGCAGACCACAAACGGTGCAAGACTAAGCCTGAGAGAAGGAGAACGTGTGAGGTGAGCCAACAGTTTGCAAGTTCTCTCCCTGGAGAAAACCTTCAGATTTTTGGCAGAAAGAGCTAGAGTCTGAGTACAGCACAGCCAACATGCTAGTTGAGGAGGCAGAGATCTGAGTTCTGTGCAGGTAAAGGGCCTAGGGCTTTCCATAGATCCACCTAACAAAGAGTAAATGGAAGTCTGCTCAAGGTCAAGGTGATCAACCAGTAGTTGAACTGCCTGCTAAAACAAGAATCAAAGGCTTCAGAGGAAGTTTATAGGATCCAGAGTCTCCTCAACATATTGTCCACAATGTCTAGTGTTCAGTAAACGGACCCTAGACATACAGAGAAATAGGAATATAATCTGTGATCAAGAAAAAAAGGAGTCAATCGGAAGTGAACACAGATGGTCTCCACCGAGCTATCGATGATCACTAACCATATGTGCCTGTTGAGAACAGGAAATGTGGTTAGTCTGAATTGGATTTGCTGAAACTGAAGTACATACCAGTTAAAATGAAAAATAAATGGAAAATATTTCATTAATTTCTATATATTACATATTGAAAGAATAATATGAATATTTTGAGTTAAATAAAAATGGATTATTAAAGTTAAGTATACCTGTTTATGTATTTTTTAACATGGCTTCTAAAAGGTTTAAAATTATATTTAGGGCTCTCATTTCTGTTGGAAAGCACTGGTCTAGGTGTCTGCTATAGCAGAACACAGCTTAAAAATCTGCAATTATAAATATTTATTTAAGGAGTCATGTAGAAATGTGTCACAGGACTGAAGGAAAATATTGTTTTAACGCTTGAGCAGAGAAAGGGAAAATTATTTTTTAAAATAATGTAAATAAGGGAGTTTCAGGTTTGACATGTAAGGAGCTTGGAAGTTGCCACTACATCCTAAAAACAAGCAAAAAGCTGAACAAACTGAAAAATCAATAGCTTTTTTTAGATCTGTAAGAGAATTGAGGTCACAAGGTAAACTGCTGGAGAATCACAATATACTGGTGCAGAAACCTCCAGGGGAACCAGTGCTGGGGTAGGAAAACCTAAACTGCAACTGGCAAATTGCTGGAGGTTCAGTGTAGACAAGTCTGACAGTCGAAAGCTCCAGAAGGATCTGTTCAAACTTTTGAGTTTTATCTCCAGGAGCTTGACCAGGTTCTTAAAGTTAATATCACAGAAAAATCCCCTCATGCTTCCAGCAGGGGGAAAGGAAAGGAATCATTTTGAAATATGCACTCTTATCAAGGTTTGCCTTCAGAAGAAACTAGTTAACTAGAAACTAACTGTCCTGGGGGAAGGGAAATAACCAACTCTAGCCATCCAGTACTTGAGGAGGGAGATAAAAACCTGAGAAGCACTTATGAAGTTCACAGTGTAGAGGCACAGGCTCACTAAAGACTGAGACCTGACAATGCTGTCCCTCCCCACACACCTTACCACCATGTTACTAAAGCCCTATTTACAGCGGTTTGTTTTTTACCCTGTACCTCATGTCAGCTATCAAGAAAAAATTACAAGGCACCTAAAAGGCAAAAAACAAAAAACCACACAGTTTGACTAGACAAAGCAAGCATCAGAACCAAATGTTGGAGTTACCAGACCAGGAATTTAAGACAACTATGATTAAAAGGGAGAAGTGGACAGCATGCAAGAACTGATAGGCAATGTAACCAGAGGGATGAAAATCCTAAGAAAGAACCAAAAAGAAATGCTAGAGATCAAAAACACTTACAAAAATAAAGTATGCCTTTGATGGGCTTATTGGTAGCCTGGACGTGGCTGAGGAAAGAATTTCTCAACTTGAGGATATGTCAATAGAAACCTCCAAAACTGAAAAGCAAAGAGAATAAAGTCTTCAAAAAAACAGAATATTCAAGAACTGTGGGACAACTGCAAAAGATGTACCATCTGTGCAATGGTAATATAAAAAGGAGGAGAGAGAAAGGAATATTCAAGAGAATAATGACTGAGAGTTTACCCAAATTAATGTCAGTTGCCAAACTATAAATCTAGGAAGCTCAAAGAATACCAAGCATGATAAATGC